AGAATGAATGAATAGTATAAAGATTTATATGTAAATGATTGTGTAGGATTGAATTGAAAGGAATAAGGAAGGAAAGGGCAAAAGAGTCATTTGTAAGGAAAATTAATTAAAGAAGGGATAAGGATATATATGAGTACAAGTGGGTTGAAAATGAGAAAACAACAAAGGCTTCCAGAGTTCTCTTCTTCTTCTTCTTTCTTCCTTGTGCGTGTGAACCAAAGCCAAGGTAAGATTTCTTATTATTGAGTTTCTTGTTAAATTTAATATTGGGTTTTGATTATTAGATTATAACTAAGCTTAAGGAAAGCTTAAGTTATCTTAACATCAAAGGGATTGAGTTAGGAGAGATTTAAGATTTGAAGTTCTTAAATGAAATATTGGAATAGAGTTCATAAATAGAATTGAAAGTTTAATTTGACTTGTCATCAATCTAGTTAAGATATACGAAGTGTTATAAGTGAAATTCAAACATGTTGAAAATTGATGTAATTATTGAATTACATATGAAGGATAGGATTTGGAGGTTTAAGATGAAATAAATAAGTATAGATTGGTTTAAGTATGTGTACTAGAGTTAAGAATGAAAAAGAGGATTAAACATGAAGGATTTAATCCAAAATGAATGGATTTTTGGGTTTAAAAAAAGGATTCTGGGCAGAGTGCATCGATGCATCAAGGTTAAAACCCAGAAATTGTTTGAATGTGTATCGATGCATTAGTAAATGCATCGATGCACTCTTTTAAAATAAAAACATCGAATGCAATTGGTGCATCGATGCATAAGGAGTGCATCGATGCATCCCAGCAATAATAATACATCGAATACCTTTTATGCACCGATGCATCAGTAGTGCATTGATGCATACCTTCATTAAAAGATGAAATTGACTTTTCTCTTAGTCTAAAGAGTGAACCATTAGAATATATTAGTTATAATACTGATATAAATCCAAGTGTGATTATGTAGATACTAAAAGTAAGCTTATTCCGGAACGATCAAAGGATTAGAATCGAATCAAAGCAAAGCTAAGGTGAGTGCATACTATATGTATATTATAATGGAATAAGACTTGTGATAAGTCTAATCCCTATGTTGATTTTTATAATACAGTAGTTGTGAACATGCATACATGATAATTATTGTGATACATGCATAAGACATATATATGTTCATGTGATGATATGTTATATGACATGTGATATGAGAACATGATATGAAGTGATATGAGATACATGATCACAAGAGAAAGGATATGAGTACATGAACATATGAAATATAAGAATAATGCCCATAGTATATGATATGAGAACTATAGGTGTAATTGGCATGTCAAGAGTCGAGGGTATAATAGTCCTTCGGGATGTAGTCCTTCGGGGATGTAGTGGTCCTACGGGACATAGATAATAGTCCTACGGGACGAATACTGAACTAAGGTTCGGTGCCCCATGAGGGAATTGATTCGAGCTGTGGTGACAACATTAGTGCACAACCTCAATGTACTCACATACCTCTATTCTCAATAATATACATGGGCAACAACAACATCAATTGAAATACCGATTCACAGTGAAAGTGATACAAGAAGGTAAGTTTCGTATGTACATTATATGATTATATATGTTATCGTGTGATAGATACATGCATATTGAAATGTCATGATCCAATGGTAAGTATGAACATTCATAAGTTTATTGTTGCATATTCATTTATTGCCTCACTAAGTCTATGACTTAGCGTGTAAGTGATTTACACGTAGGTACCAAGAATCAGGAAAAGTGGAAATAGAAGTAGCACGGACATCAATACTACTAAGAGATCAGATCAGAAGTAATTGACAAAGTATGTACTTGGTTATGTATAGAGTGTTGGCATGTAATAAGTGTTAATTACGAATACTCTGATCGATTTTGTATTTTATGGTCTTATGTAAATTAATGTATTTCGTTTTAATGAAAGTTTTAAAAATTCCCGGGATTTTCTATCAGAGTCAAAGTTTGAAAAGTCAATGTGACACCTCAGACTTGTATTCGGGTCGAATATGAGTTAAGGGTGTTACATTCCTAAGCATAGTCTGATAGCTTGGATGATGTTATTAGACAGACTTCCTACTTGCGATCGTCTTCTTCGTATGGGAATTACCACTAATGGATTTGTGTTTTGTGTAACGAATGCCGGAAAATCAGAATCACTTGTTTTTTGACTGCCCCATCGCTTCTTGTTTGAGAGGAAAAATTATGCTTCTTATCGGTCTAAACAATAACATTTCTTCTTGGGAAGACATGGTAAATTGGGCTTGTAACTCATGGAAAGGTAAATCTCTCATCTCTACTATTCTTAAACTTGCTTGGTGTGCTAACATTTATATTTTATGGGAGGAACGCAATCGAAGAATCTTCAAAGGATGCTCCAAAACTGTCGATGATCTTCTCAACAGCATCAAAGAATATGTTGGAATCAAGCTTAGGGGAAAAACCATTAACATAATTGACTATGTAAACTCCAACCTCTGTACTTGTTGGGGTATTTATTAAATGATCGCTCTTTTGTATATTATCTGTAATTCTTCAATGTGATTGGTAATTGTTTTGTAGCAAACATTGCTTATTTGGGTAATAAAATTTTATTTATCCAAAAAAAAGAAAGGAAATAAATTATTAGTTCTAAGGGAATGAAAGGCAAAGAAATAGGAATTAGGGCTCAACGTTCGAGTCGAGTAAAAGTTTCGAATTGATGATTCTTATTTTATAACTCAAATATGACTTGAAAAATTTTCAAGTCGAGTCGAGACAAGTTGTTTGAGTTTCTATTTAATTTTAATCGTAAATATTTATAATATTATTTAACTCAAATTTAAACGATTTTCTATAACCATATAATATATATATTAATTTTTTTTCATATGTGATATACTTATATTATATAAAGTCGAGAGACTCAATTTAAACTTAAAAATCAATATACTAATTACTAAACATTTTGAGTTATTTGATTTATTCAAGTTTTATTTGATAACTCGATATGTATTTAATTTTTTTAAAATTAAGTCACATTTATAAAAATAGAACTTGAAATTAACTCGAATTGAATCAAGTTTTGTTCATTTCTAAATAAGAAAGGGAAAGGTTAAAATGGTTAATGTAGAGAAGAGATTTAAAAGAGGGTGGAGTGTCAAAGAGATGACTCCACACGTGGCAATTGGCAGTGACACCGATGCTTTTCTGTGTTTCCAATAACCTTAGCTGTCATTTTTGTTGTTTGGTTGTGTGCGTGTTTCTGTTCAAAAGAAATAAAGAAACGGCAGAGCCCATAGCTTCTACCAGAAAACCGTTGGTTGCTTTATCCCTATCTACTCGAAATTCTAAAACCATCTTCACTCTTTAGTCTTAACCAATAAACGGCATCTAACTAACCCTAACCCTAACCCTAACCCTAACCCCAGCTGCAGTTAGCTCTCCCTCCACTGTTCTTTCTCTTTTGCTTTTTTCCTCCTCCCACTTTGCTCTTTTCTTATTTTTCATCTTGCAAACGTTAACGTCTCCTTCTCCATACTCTTCCTTTTTTCACCCTTCAATTTGGATTCTTATTTCTTAAAAAAAACTTTAAAATGTTTTCCGTAATGAAAAAATTCTAAATTCGACGCCTTTTATAAAATCAATTAATTTCAACATAATGAAATTTAATTAAAATATGTTACTTATAAGAAAATATGTCCAATATCATACTATCAAAATGTATTTAAAATTAGTAAATTTTACATTTTTAAATTAATAATAGTTAATTATTACATAAAGAATAAATGCAATGAAATTATAAAAATAATTTATAAAATCAAAGTAAACTAAGTTATATTAACTAGTCATCTTCGTTAAAACCATCAATATACGCAAACTACTCATTAAATAATAAGAATATAATAATTAAAATTTTCTATCGATAAAGAGAATCAATTCAATAATTTAAAGTAGGAATAGATAAATAATATAAATATATAAATGTTAACGGAATAGATTACACCAAATGTAATTTTGAGAAAATAGAATATACGTTACAACTTATAAGAGTATTCAAAAATTTTCTAAAAAACAAAATATTCCATTTATTATTTTCTTACAAAAATACAAAATATAAAATAATATGAGTTATATATTTAAAAATATATATGATAGAAGTTGATTAAATACAGAATTAGAAAGGTGGAGAAAAATGAAAAAACAACTAAATCTGATATTGTCATCAATAATAGAAATAAAAAAAATAAAACACGAGCAATACAAGAGAGAGAGAGAGAAAAAAGAGAATAACCGTTGGGATTTTATGTTTTTAATAATGCTGCTTATTCATAATAGTTATTCAGAAAAAAAAAGGAGAAATTTTTGGTCATGATAGTTGACCTCTTCAAAACTAGTCGACTTGCCTTGCAATTCAGCTCAAATTATTTGTGATTAGACACTCTTTTCTAAAATGTAGGATTGAAAATTCAGATTATATAGAAATGAAATCCATCAAAAACCAATAAATTAATTTGCGGCTTTATTATTATTATTATTATTATATCGCCAACTTATTCGCTTTTCATGAAAAATTATATTTATACATTGAATGAGTTTGGGAAAATAAAATCATAGACGGGACTTGAATTGGGAATATTATTTGTATTATTAATATTGCAGTAGGTCCATTATTTTAAATGCATTTTAATTCGTTGTAAATTGATTGAAATCACTTGATTCAAACGCAATAAATGATACCAGCTGTAACATTAATTTCCTTGTATAGCATAATGTTTAACCTAATGGCACAAAAGCAAAAAGGAAAAGAAAAAGCAACTCATATAAATGCTAATTCATAAATGTCATTATTGTGTTATGAAAATGTTATTTCCAGCGTCCGAATTACAAGAACACATGAAATACAAACACTGACTTTGAAAATACGCGAAATTTCAGAATGACTGACCCCTCCCCTCATCCTATAAATAGATAGCTGGAGTAAAGCTAGGTTTGCCGAACTGAATAGCCAAACACGGTTAGAAATTTAGAAACAAAAAATTTCTCTTTTTTCTTTTCTTCCGCCCTGCAGCACCCTAAAAAAATGGCGGCATCTCCTAGAAAATCGAGTGGACGGGTTCTCCGTTCCCTTTCACCATCAGGCCGGTTCAGTTCTCACTACGCTTCACAGTCTTCGTCGTCGTCTTCCTCGGCTTTTGCTTATTCGAGTTCAAGTTTCTCCTCACGCTCTTCTACTTTCTTTAATCAACAGAGATCTATTTCTCCGCCTCGTGTTAATCTCTATAACCACTCTCCATCATCACCGTCCGTGCGATTCTCGCTTGATAACCGTCCAATCTCGCCGAACCGTTCGATTTCAGCCGTCAGTAGAAACACCGAGGCTTTAAAGAATTTACAAAGCAAACAGCCAAAGCGAACTTGTATGTGTTCGCCTACGACGCATCCTGGATCTTTCCGTTGCAGTCTTCATAAGGGTTTCAATATTCAGCACGCTTCGTCCAGTTACGCGCCTAGTAATCGGCTTAACGCGCGTAGATCTGCGATGACAAATTCACTAGTTAGAATTGGAGGAGTCGAAGGAGATTTGGTTAGGAGAGCTTTGTCGGCTTTGATTAGGCCTTCATCACATCAGCAGCGTCGTCGTGCAGCGTTTCAGCCTAGGCCAAGCCGCCTCTCCGTGATGTCTAAAGCCGAGGATTGATCAAAAGGCATGTTGTGGTATGTATAAATTTTTTCAAGCTTTTTGGTTAAGTCTCAGAGATTTTCCGGTGATTGGAGATCGATCTGGGGAGCAGCGCCCCAGTTGCTGGCGGTGGAGTTAGGATCCGTGATGAGGTTTGAGATCTGGTTGAGATGGATTTGATTTTTAGTTTTCCCTGGGTGGCAGAAACCGTAGACGCAGAGGCTCAGAGCGTCATATTATCATTTAATTTGTTGGTGTAAATACATATCTTTGCAGCCAATGGCAAATTTACGAGGTTTTGAACAAACAAAAAAAATCTTAACACACTTAGAAAAACTAATCTATTCTAATCTAATTGCACTTAATTAAAATCTAAAAATTGGATCCCATGTCTCTTTTTTGATTGGTTTCAAGTTACTTCTTTCATTCGATTTGTTCTCCAAATACTATTAAATTCCATCCCAGCACAAACTTCTCGTTTTCCGTTTCAAAATTCTGCACCTTCTTCAGTTTGCGCCTTTTCTCTTTCGATTCGTACCGTTAATAGGTCTGTATTTTCTTTTCATTTCTTTCATCTCTCTTCAATTTTTCCATCTTTTTGTTAGTTTTATAAAATCTAAAATTTTATTTTGATTTACTGTTATTAACTTTCATTTTGGTTATTTTGTCAGGCATTGGAATTGGACATGGCGGAATTTACACATCTTGACCCCTTCAAAGGAGAACTGAACATATCGTCGGATTTACTTGGTCAAACTATGAAATAAACTGAACGTTGGATAAGATTGAGATGAGCCTTTGGGAAACTGAAAATTAATTGATATTAATGATTAAAACTCTATAATCTTAAATAGAAACTGGAGTGACGGTATGAACCGTTACTCTTAAGTTCGATGGAAATTAAGGGGGAAATTATTGAACTGGACACACTACAAAATCTGATGAACATATTAATATGAAATTGATAATTTTCAAGGGATAAGAAAAATGAGAAAGGAATAAACGAGATTGAGAACATCAAGTGCCAGACCTCCCCTCTCCCTCCTCCCCTCTCTAACAAAGGGTTCATACTAGAAAAGTTATAAAAACAAAACCTATATAGTCATAGGAGGCACGAGGCACGAACCAAAAAGGTTTTAGATTCGACCACTATGAATATTAAGAATATTGAATTTATCTAAAATTAATAAAAGAAACCTTAAAGATGTTGAATTTATCCCAAATTAATAAAATAAACAACAAAGAAGTTCAGAAAAACGCGTCATTAGCAACCACATAAACTCAAATAGCCCACGGGAACTCATAGCCCATAAAAACACTAAACTACTCTTTAATTTATACATTTGAGAAATTAAGTAGATTATAAGTATTGTATAGAAAAATTAGCTGGCATAATTTTCATTTGAAATAGAAATTAAATAAATTATGCACATTGCATAAATAAAACTAACACGAATATCTTTCATTTGAGTTAGAAATTAATTAAATTATAAACATTGTATAATAAAACATAAATAATTTCCATTTGAGTGAGTTAAACTAAAATTTAAAAAACACATACTCGATTTTGTAAATTTGTATAAAACTAAAAGCCATGTATTTTCTGGAAAAGAAAAAGGAAAGAAGAATAAGCAAACAGCTTGAGGAAACCGCCCAACTTTGTTCTCATTATTTCGGTGGCACCGAATTGGGTCCAGAAAGAGAGTACTAACTGCACAGATAGTATGTCATCTATTACAATATATTAAAAATTATGATAAAATATTATTTTAATATATTAAATTTATTATTTTATATTAGCAAGAGCTGTAACGAATTATATAGAAACTCAAATTAAAAATAATTAACTTAGTTATTTTTTAGAGTATTTTTCTATATTTTTTTTCTTGCATTATCTCGACCGTAGATAATGTATAAGCAGCAGCTACCAGTAACTAGGAGACTATGTGCTTGTATTCTTGTCAAAATGGAATTTTTCTCTAAAAACTAGAATCAGCCGGCAATAAATAGGTAAAGACATGAAAGAGCGACAGCTCTCGAGGAATATGAATCCTTTTGCTTTCTTTAAAAATTATAATATTTTATATTTCTATGTTTCCCCCCTCATTTTCTGTAATTGACATTAGTGTTACATGTGTTTTGATTTTTTTTAATTTTTAGAAGAGTCAAAATACTAAAATTTTGTTATTTTAATTTTATAATTTTCTTTATAATTCATTGATAAGTAAATTTTTATTATTAAAGAAAAGGGACACAAATAATTCAATTGAAGATATTATAACTTTCGGCTTAATGCTTCACACCTCACTTGGTGGGGGATTAATATTTTCTTGAATGCTAATCAACTGAAGGGTGAATATTTCGTTAATTTATGTTTTAATTTTATCATTAAATTCAAAAGTTTTAATTTTATCATTAAATTCAAAAGTTTTAATTTTATCACTAAAATTTTAAAATTAATTTATTTTAATCATTTGATCATTAACATTAATAAAAAGATAAAAATGTTTTTTTTTATTTCATCATGTTATATCGTTTATTTTTCATTTATTTTCTATAATAATAAGAAATCATGAATTTGAGAGGTTTGAAGTTTTTGTTTTAAAATCCGAGTGATGAATAACATTGTTTTAAAATGATGGCCAATGTATCTTAAAACTAATTTTTTCGGACGATCATAGGACGGAAAAATTAAAACATTAAACTTTTAGATAAACTTTATCAATTTTGAGCTGAGTTTCAACAAAAACCTAAACAGAAGAAAAATGAATAAAATGTAAACAATTTTATACTAATTTTATTTCGTATGGATGGATGGTTCAAAAGGCCTAAAAACTACAATCACTGACCAACCCTTTGGTGTTGCTTTAGGCTTTTGAACTGCACCTCACTCTCCGATTTCAAAGCCGCCACGCACGACAATGCTATGGTTTAAGCGAATCTATTGATTTTCGTTTTGTTATTAAGGAACACAGATTGTCTTCACGTTTATTTGAATTCTATTGGAGATCTGGGTTTCCCAAGTGTCTTCCTGGGTTCCGATTGAAATGAAAAGGCCGGATTGTAAGTCAAATAGTCTTTGGTGTAGTAATAAATAATCTACATTGTTTACGTTTTTTGTTTTGTTTTCTTTGGAGAAACCAAGACACACGTTGCCCTATTGGCGTTAATGATGAATTTAAGGCTAAGATCACGGAATTCAAGGTAATCAGATCACTGACCCACGATTAAGAAATTACAAGTGCAGAACCAAATGTCTTCAATTTGCTTTCACAGAAATATATTCGTTACTATGCTCTTTCTTTGTTTGATTCAAGCCACACGGCGCATTCAAAACTGATGCTCCAAGCACGGTTCAATGATTCACACTCTTTTTTCATATTTATCGGATATATATTTTTTAAATAATTATATACTCTTAACTATAAGTTCTTAAATATAAAAGAAACAGTAAGCACGTGATTCACTAATCATTCTGGCAACAGAAATTGAACCAAAACAATATGGAATTATATATTGCAGGCAGAAGGCCCACCGAAATCCCTTTGTGTTGCAAGTAGGGGATGTTTCATGATTCGTGTGACTCAAGTATGTTCCATGTGGGACATGCTCCTCTGTTAAAATGTTAAAGTGGTAGTCTCACCGTCACCTGAAAAATAAATTCTAAAATATTTAAATTTTAAAATTTTCAATGGAAATTAAAAGTATGATGATTAAAAGGATTATATTTATAATTGTCATTAATACGCGTTTTTAGTTGCAAATTAAAAATGTAATGTATGATGTTAATTGATTGGTAAGCAAATGCTTACATGCCGAAAATGTATAATGAAATGTCATTTTCTTATCCCATTTCTTAAAATGCATACCTTTGAGTGCAGATCGACGGATTGTAAGAAAGAATCAGAAGGGGGGGGGGGGGAATGAAAACAGAAGCTCAAATTGACATGGAAATATGACGTGTTACACAGTTGCAACTTCAAAGTTGTCCAAATGCCATGTCATCACATTCTCCGACAAGACTTTACCCCTTCCCTACTTCTCCTTCAAACAAGCTCTTCTCTGTGCCGCTCAAAACTGACTTGTCTCTCTCTCATCAGATTCTACACAAGGAATCCACAATTTCCTGTTGAGTTATCAAAACGCCACAATCATCGATGGCGAACCTCAAAGCAGGCACAAGACCACCATGGCTTGGTCTGGGCGCTGCTGTCTGGGTGCAGATAGCATCTGGGAATGCGTACAACTTCCCTCTCTACTCCCATTCCTTGAAATCTGCTCTGGGGTTCAACCAACATCAGCTGACGATGCTTGGTGTCGCTAATGATATTGGTGAAAACGTTGGTCTCCTCCCTGGTATCGCTTGTAACAAGTTCCCGCCTTGGATTGTTCTTTCCATCGGTTCTTTTGCTTGCTTCTTGGGTTATGGTGTTCTTTGGCTCGCACTTAGCCGAACTGTTCTAAATCTTCCTTATTGGTTGGTAAGTTTAATTCTTTATCTGGATTATTTTTTTATATTGTTTACATCTGCACTTCGAGCTGGAATTTGATTTCATCCTTGATTTAGATGAGTTTGTCTTAGATTTTTAACTGATTTGAATGCTTTTAAATATTAATTTTATCTCATGAAAGCCAGATTCTTTTTGAGAGATAAACCTAAAGCTCTTTTAACCAGGATTGATACAAATTGGTAAAGTTGGTTTGAGGTGGCCTTGTTGCTTTGAAATGTTAGGAAAGTTCTTATTTTTTTCCCCAGTGAAAACATTATGCTTATTGTAAATCCATTGTGAAACTTGAGCTTTATCTTGCGTTGCTTGATACTTAAAGTAGGAAATTTCGTTGAGACCTGATGAAAGTGATGGTCCGAAACATACAAGAAGTGGAATGGTAGCATGTAGTTCAAAACTAGTTTCCTAACAATTTTGTTGCATTAAAAGAGTCCAAAATCTTTGGCCGAAAATGCTTCAATTAGAGAAAACTATTCTTACCTTTCGGTTTCTTTCTAGTACATCTCCCATGTACAGAAACATATAGCTGAGGTGTAGTCGTAATGTTTAATAGGTTTTACATGTGAACCTAGACCGCAAAAGACTCCGTTTGAAGAAGGCAAGCGGTGATGGATTAATGAGGAGTATTATTTGATCCTATGAATTTTGCTTTCTATTCCTCTCTTTTTTTCTTTTCTTTTTTTGCTCCTATTGTCTCCAGATGCTTTTTTTGCAATATTTGTCTCCTAGAAATGTTAATAAAATTCATACTTGATAGGTCTCTAGTTAAATTAGAGTCGGGAGTGAGTGTATCCTATTAGTTTACCTATTGTCTGATCATACCTATACATGCAACTAAAATATTAGTTTAATTAAGATTTTAAAATTCATTCTTTTAGATGGTTTGTCAGTGCATTCTCTTTTAATCTTTGTATTCAAGATTTACAAATTTTATCTAGCATACCCATGTTAGAGCAGGGCATGTTCTTTGTTCATCAATGTTGCTCAGAAACATCAGTTTCACCAATGTAAATGATATGTAAAAATTAAAAAATTAAATGTATTCAGTCTGCTATCTCTTGGTAATTTCAATCAGCAATTGGCTAAATATTACGATTTTCATTTTCTACTGTTCTGCAGCTATGGCTTGCACTTTGTGTAGCTACCAACAGTAGTGCTTGGTTGAGCACTGCAGCGCTTGTCACTAATATGAGAAATTTCCCCGTCAGTCGAGGCACAGTTGCTGGTATCCTCAAGGGCTATTCTGGGCTAAGTGCTGCAGTATTTACAGAAATTTACAGCACCATACTTCGGAAGTCCTCTTCTAACCTTCTGATGTTTCTTTCAGTTGGTGTCCCTATTCTTTGCTTTCTCATGATGTACTTTGTTAGGGCTTGTACTCCCACCTTTGGTGCGGACTCCACGGAGCGTGGCCATTTTCTTTTTATCCAAGTTACTAGTGTGGTTCTTGGCTTGTATGTTTTAACGACCACGATACTAGATCCTATTCTTCATTTTGGTGCTGAGATTTCTTCTGCCATACTTGTCGGAATGGTTGTCCTTCTTTTGGCTCCCCTCGCCATTCCCGTAAAGATGACTATCTGTCCCTCGAGGATCAACCAACCAGAGATGCCTAACCAACCAGTTGCGTCTTCAGATGAAAACCTTCAAGGGGAAGGCAATGCAGATAAAACAGAACCACTGTTGAAGTCATCAGAATCCACGACATACCTGGGAAGTTTTCGTGAAGGTGATGAGGCAACGGAGGTGGCCATGCTTCTAGCTGTGGGTGAGGGGGCATTTAAGAAGAAGAGAAGGCCTAAAAGGGGGGAAGATTTCAAATTTACCGAAGCTGTAGTTAAAGCTGATTTCTGGCTTCTTTTCTTGGTTTTCTTCACTGGTGTTGGTTCCGGTGTGACTGTTCTCAACAATCTGGCTCAGATAGGGATTGCACAAGGCGTACACAACACAACCATACTGTTATCTCTTTTCAGTTTTTGCAACTTTATTGGCCGTCTTGGTGGTGGGGTTGTATCGGAACATTTTGTCAGGTAAAGAGAATACATTTGATTTACAAATTTATTTAAAGTTGCCACTTTTATACTGGTTACTTCGCTTCCAGGATATGAACTCTCCGAGCATAAAGTAAATTTGGCATGCACCAATATAACTTTTGTTACTTGGTGCCAAAAGTAGTTGTTTTTCCTTAAAATGTTTTACGGGAATTTTAGTGCCCATAGCCATTTGTTTATGATTGTTGGTTAGAGTTAATAGGTGCAAAGTTGCATTTTATTCTATGTTTTCCTATGTTCATGCCTAGGTCGCCTAATTATAATATATATATTTGTTATTTGCAGGTCAAAACTGGTTCCCCGCACCGTTTGGATGACATGCACTCAAATAATCATGGTCATTACATACCTTCTTTTTGCGTCAGCTATTGAGGGCACATTATATGCTGCAACCGCATTACTAGGAATATGCTATGGTGTTCAATTCTCCATCATGATCCCCACTGTCTCTGAGCTTTTCGGTTTGAAGCATTTTGGTATATTTTACAATTTCATGTCACTAGGAAATCCTCTCGGAGCATTCCTCTTCTCGGGGCTCCTAGCAGGATATATATACGATACTGAGGCCGCAAAACAGCATGGAGTCAATCTGATTAGCTCAAGCATTTCGTGCATCGGTCCAAACTGCTTTAGGCTTACTTTCCTGGTTCTTGCTGGTCTCTGTGGTGTGGGCTCAGTAGCAAGCATCGTTCTTACTAAGCGGATATGGCCTGTTTACGAAATGCTTTACGGCCGGGGTTCTTTTAGGCTGCCCCAAACTTCTAATCACTGAGTGTGGAAGATTTCAATCATTTAGAGGCCTACTTTGGTGCACATCTTGGACTAGGTATTTCCACTCTACGAAGTATGCAAACTCTAATAAATGCAGTTTCTGCCTGGATGCCTGTTTATTACTCAACACGCGCATCCGGCTCTGATTTTTGCAAACCCTTGCTCGAATTATAAAATCTATCTAGAAGAACATTGATGCATAGTTGATAACTGTAATATCCGATCATATTATTGTTAATGATGTTGCAAGTTTGTGTGTACCATGATAGCAGAGCTGCAAATTTTAGCTGGATGTAAAGGCAGTCATTATGTACTTAGAATTGCAATCAACCTATACTTTTTCTTTATTTGGTTGTTTGTGTGAAGTGATAATCGTAAGGTTTCAAACACGAACTTATTGATAATTATCGTAAAGAATTTGTCGCCTTTGAAGATTAGTTGCTGATATCTTAAATTCTCAGCAGGTTGAGAGTTAAACTCCTTTGTTTTTGTAGACAAGAACTTTAAGGAACCTTAAATGTTACGGGATACAATATTTAAGATAACTTGAATAAGGGAGGCTGGTATTCATTGCAACTATTTAAGACTGTGGCTGGCTGTTGTTAAAGAATTCGACGAAGCCGTAACGGCAATATTGAAATGGCGGATGAAAATCATTGAATTCTTTTAAAATGGCAAATGAATCTTGTGTCGTACTTTTTGAAGCAGGTAGTTAATGTCTACACCTTGAAACATTACACTAGCAAAATCTGGTGTGAGAATTAACATCTTTACAATATTGAAACTATCTTTTCGATCGCCTTAGATCAATCAGTTTTCTCAACTATTTTCTTTCAACACACATATATTAGTGTAGAAACTTTAGGATACATGAATCCAGAAAGAATACAAACAGTCCAGTGCTAGCAAGTACTAACCTTATATCAGATTCACATGCATAAAAAAGGCAGTTGTTACCAGACATATAGGGCCTATCCCTATGATTGGAGAAGAAAACTTTTGAATGAGCATGACTCGACTTAGCCAACAAAAGTAAGAAAGATTCCTCAGACATGATCAAGTGGGTTTCATGTCCTGAAAAAGTTCTGCCCACAATGTTTGATCATCATAGTCCTCACCTGCTTTTTCTTGTTTGTAGTGATCGCCGTAAATCTTTGGGCTTGGAGTTCTTACAAAACAAAGAGGTACAGAGAGTTTTGGGCTCCTACAGCCATTTGTGAGCATCAACCTCTCTTGTGCTGCCATTGCAATATCAGCAGGATCAGAAGTGATGGGGCTTCTGTAATTGAATATCACCTTCTCCTGCATTTTTCTATCAAGAGGTCCTGATAATTTCAAGCTTCTAGGAGGGACCAACAACTTGTCTTGTCCTCTGTAATCCAAGGGACCGGATTTTGCAACCTTCCTTGTTCTCACCACTGGCTGCTCTATCTTCATCAGCTCCTTTTTGTTCTTGGCCTTCCGTGACAACGTCAGTGCCACTCTCCATTGATCTTGATGACAAACCGATTCCGGAAACGGCTTAATCGCGTGATTCTCCTGATGAACCAACTTGTTAACATACTTGTTGACGCACTTTCTTGTCTTGTTGATTGCCAAAATGAGCTTGGCAAGGCTGTTAGGGGCTTCTCCGGTTTCCTTCCTAGCGAGCTTGAGAATCTCCAGCCTATGCTTGGCAACTGAAATTCCCATGCTCTGAAGAAACTCATGGTTGAAGGACGCTAAGTCCTCCTTTTCTAGCTCATTTTGAGAAAAGGCAAGGCTATACTCATAGACAAGCGAGGGCTCAAGAGCAGTTTTTGATAACCAAGAGTACCAGTCCATTGCGATGGTGCTTGCCGAAAACCACAGGGTGCTCAGAAAATGGGAGGTTTATATACAGTTATAAACTGGTTGCATGTGAAAAGTGGTCCGTCTCTTAAAGAAAATCTTCAAATTGCAACCACAAATGCTTTTTAGTTCTGTCGTATTTATTGTGTTTGCGGTCATCGTACTTGATCATTTACTATAAATATTTATAGACACAACAGTAAGTAAATAAAAGAAGGTGAAGAGTAAGTAAATGTGAAAGGGGAGGGTGAACATATCTGTTTTGTGACGTAACTGAAAATTGGTTGGTAGTTGAAAGTGAGAGGGACATGAAGCGAAATTGTGGAGTTTACACTCCCTTTGTGTTTTTCATTGCAAGGTTTCCCACTTGACTTCTGTTTAGGGCATATTATCATATGTTTTCATCAACTTTTGTCTTTATTTTGGGCTGCACATGTGCTTGCTATCAGCAAAATCTTCCAATAAAACAAAAACTATATCCAATTCTGATTATGTGTACTAGTGAGTTACAAAATGAAACATCATCACCTAGGCACATACATGTATACAGACTCGAAATGGATAAAAGATAATTCTTCACTAAACGGATCATAATCAAGTCATATCAATTAAAATTCGAATTAATATCTCTAACAAATGTAATTACTAAATTGGAAAAGTATATAGAAGCATTAATTGTCTGTAGGTGTAAGCAATACTAGTGTTGGGAAATGTCAAAGAAGCAATTGCAAGCTTATGGGATTGGCAAAAGGGATAGAAGTGGTGGTGTGTGTTCCTTTTTGACATCAAGAATGAACATGGTAGGGAAGGGTGGCCCATAACATGCATATTTAATTCTATATCCCATTCAAAGTGTTGAGCCAGTCATGAATAGTAGTTGTTGAATCATAATGTGAGGAAACGCTGTTTTTAGTGGGCAGGCATTTATGAAAACGGTGAAAAAGTTCGGAGAGGTTTGGAAATGGAGGGCTTTATGCGATATGAAACCCCACAAGATATGTGTATCAATTCATCAAAATCAAAGCCTGCCTTTCCTACCCTACCATATGCTGTACCTAAGACAACTAATGCTGTACCTAAGTTAGTTTTTTATTTATAAAAATATACATACATTTATATATGAATTATAAACCAACCTTTTTTAAAGAGACCCCTCCCAACACCAACATAACTTCGTCCCTGTATATTATACGATTGTACTCTGATATGGAAGTTATAATTACATAATATGACACTGCAGCAAGTTAGTGTTTCACAGCTGAATTATGGTTAGCCATCTCTTGGTGGGTCTAGAGAGCTTCCATTTCAAATTGAGGGCTGTTGGATGATTAGTCTGGGACTCCTATTCAAACGTTTTCTGTTTTCTATTCGTAGATAAGCACTTACTAAAATGTTATAGAGTAGTGAACCAACCAAATTTACATATATTTACATCATTGTAATAAGTTTTAGCTTTTATCTTAAATGTCTAATTCAATTCTATCCTATCATGGAGTTTATAGAACAAGTTTCCCCCCTAACCATGTAATACTCGAATTAAATTAATTAGATGGTTTCCATACAATGATCAATTTTAACACTGAGCTGTAGACATTGGGCTCAAGGAAACAATCTATAGTTTAGATCTTAGGCCCACGTTGAATGCATGTTAATAGCCTTTTTTACTTCTTAAAATTAAGTTAAAAGTGATTACTGTAATATCTATTTTAAATGCTCTTAGTTAATATGATTACAAAGTAATATGTTCTAAATTTTTAACCATTTAGTAATAAACATTCAATTATTCTTACATTCACTTATGCTCGAACCTATGACCTTTATTAACGCTTATTAATAGCTTTTTATAGTTGGCTTGACTGTATGCCGAATTATATACATGATAAATACATCAATAAATTCCATCTACAACAGATGACTTATTATAATAATAAGTGTGTAAAAAAATCTATATATAACACTAGCGGAATATGAAAATTAAGTCTATTTTACCATTCAAATCCAGTCCATACGCCCTTATAAATCAGATAAAATTCAGCAGTGCAACATACTTGCAGTGTTGGAAATGAACAGAATTGCCAACTACCGCCGGGAGGGGGGGGGGGTATTAAACAAGTTGGATTTACATCAACAAATCTGTTACAAAGGAAAGAAATGCATACAAAAATAGAAGCTCCAGAAACACGTCTAGAAATTTATGTGAATCAAAAGAAATTTGATTCACTAAACTAAGAATGATGCCAATTCCATTAGCGGCTATTAAGAATCCAATAAAACATCTAAGAACATATAAGGCGTAGAGGAATTATGCTGACATGAGAATCACCACTATCATATCCTGCAAAATATGACAGAAAACAAAATCTACACTCTAGAATTCCATCTTCACAATTCATTCGGAACTCTGTGATACTCCACCATACTGAAGCCAATCCTTTGCGCAGATGAGAGCTTCAAGTGTCACTGGATGTAATGAGCTGTGGTAATTATCCATCTTTTTTCTATCCGTGTCAAAAACAAAATCAGAACCAACAGTAGAAAACGGGATTGACAAAATATCAGAAGCCATCCTCCAAAGAATAGGATACTTTTTCTTGTTTAGTTTCCACCAGCTCAGAATATTGAAATCATGTTCTCTAGGCAAAAGTGACTCTTCTAGATATTGATCCAATTCAGATCTTGTTTGCTGGCTAACACTGATCCCGGAGATATATACCTCAAAATCTGAAAGCCCATCTCCAATAGAAATAAGGGGATCCGAGGAAGGTGCTTCTTGAGAGGCTACTTCTTGATGGGGCATTTCATGACAAGTTACTTCTTGATGCGGCATTTCATGACAAGCTACTTCTTGATGCGGCACTTCATGACAAGCTACTTCTTGATGGGGCATTTCCTGACAAGCAACTTCATGGGGCATTTCACGACAAGCACCTTCTTGAGATGGTCCCTCTTGAAGGTATCCTTCTTCGGATAGTCCTTCTTGAAGGAAGCCATTTTCAGGAAGTTCAGTTTTGGGGATGATGCTCCCATTATCTTCAGGGATACCGCTTTCATTCCGTTCTTCCACAAATGTTTCGCGTGGAGGAACTTCATGTATGGTATATTCATGGTAGAGCTCATGAATCCCATCATCAACAATCTTAATCCACATTCCAGCATCATCACCATATATCCTAGAGAAGCTAAACTCAACGAGTTTCATTTTGAACCTTGGATCCATTACCACAGCAATCGCCAAAACTAAGAAGCAGTCACTCCAGTATCTATCAAACTTCTCCTTCAAAGGCTTGGTCAAGTTGCTGATAAATGGGTCATTGCTCATTGAGGCATGTGTCAACTCTAATTGAACTTTTGACACCTCATGATAGAATGCACTGGCAGTTGGGTATGTTTGGGCAGTTAATATACTGACAGCATCAAAGAAAAGCTTCAAGTATGTGCAGAGAATTTCTATTTGCTTCCAATCGTCCATTGATGGGGCTATATTATAATCAAGAAAGGAGGTCTCCAAGCACAGAAATACCTGCTTTAGTTCGCAGGCAGCCACCAACATGTCATACGTTGTGTTCCATTTTGTTTGATCATCGATAAATATGTCTTTCGTGCTAGGCTCCTTAAGTTGTTCCTTAAGATGGAAAAACGTCTCTTCATGAGTATCTGAACTTTTCACAAACTTCGCACTTTCCCGGATTTTATTCACAGTTGCCCCCACAGACCATAGTGCCTCTCGTGCAAGAAGACTTATAACACGAGCAAAGCAATTTCCAATCAATAACTGACCATGAAGCACATAAGGATTCCTGCCAGAAAACAGAGCTCGTAGGCTTTCATTTATGTTCTCATTTGAGAAGGACTGATCAAGAGTAAGGGTAAATAGCCTATTCTCCAAATGCCATTCAGATAGACAAGAAACAACAGTTTGCTGTAAGGCACCATCTGAATCAGGAAACGGTACTGTGACCACATTAAGCAGGCAGCGATGCAAATTCCACTCAGTATCAACGAATTGTCCTGTTAAAAACATAACCCACAGTTTGATTTGAAATCCACAAATCTAATGCAAGGCTGACCCGACCTGGAATTTCATTGATAAAATTGAGAAGGCTCTGCTTCTCTTTCAAGTACATTGCGACACAATCTCCTTGAATAGTGTTGAAACTCACCATATTGAACTGTGGTTGAAGAGTCCGCACAAAATCATTAAAACCAGGGTGTTCTACAATGTGGAGGGGATACTCATGCATTATTATCATCTTAGCTATCTCATGGTTGCAGTTTTCCTGGTTAAAAGGGATGTTTGCAATTCTCTGAGTTGTTCGTTGTCTTTTCCATGATTCGTCAACAGCATTACCAGTTTTAGGGTCTGGTGTCTGTTGATTTCTCTGACTTACGGGGCAGATACCCAATGCAATGTGTCTTTTGAGGTGGCTAGTTCCAGCTAGCTTTGAACCGGTAATGTAAGCAAATGATTTTTTGCACTGATTACAGAAGGCCCTGATACATCCATCTCCAACAGTCTCCACAGTAAAATAATCCCAGACAATAGACTTCTTCCTCCTCCGTTTATTCGGCTGTACTTCAGAACCAAGTGGCTCACCGTTCTCAGTAGGAGTAATAGGTGTATCAGGCATGTTAACAGGAACAATTGCAGTCTCCATCTCAATGTACAGTCCTGCAAATATCAAAGGCACAGCTAATTATAAGTTCTCATTTAGATTATGTTAAAAAAGTCAATGGAAAAACGTGTGGCAGACCACATGAAGACAACACTATTTAGTAGCCAGATAAGAATGATACAAAGTGATTTGATGACATCCAAAGTTTTGATTTTCACATTAGAGCCTAAACTTATTGAATAAGAAAATTCCCTAAACGTCTGCACTACATTATATCTTATGCGCAGTAGGTTCTCCTTCACAAGACAATTGAGATTCATATTTACAAACTAACAAACCATAAGCCCAAGTGATCAGGATCTGGAGTCCAAACTTAAATGAAAACCCACTGCAACATAAAAACGAAATAACTATCATCTTCTCATAAACTAAATGACCAAAAAAACGAGGGCCACACTAAAAAAAAATCATGTGTAGAGGAAGGGGAACAACTTACTAAAAGATGCACATAAAGAGAGAAAAATAGCCAGGAAAGCAGAAAAGCAATACAAGAACTAGGAAGAAATAGGATTTTGAGCAAAACTCATTAACGCCGATCGCAAAGATCCTCGAACAAAAATCTATAATTCCCAGTAAAGTCCATATATATAAACTCAAAAACAAGGCATCGAAACCTAAAATTACGCTGAAATAAACAAAACCCAGTTCATTGATCAAAGATTTAAGTACCTTGTTTCACCAAAGAGCCCGGAAAGCAGATTCGAAACAAAAGTCGTTGATTTATTTGCTTATTATTGCTTTCCTGAAACTGAAGGAAGTAAAAAAATAATGATATTTTGAATATCGGGTAACGGAGGGAAGCGCAGACAAGGAAGAGAAAGGTTAATTGGGCTGGAAAAGAGGCGAAAGAAAGTTCAGAGCTTTCTTTTTGTCCGGTGAGAGAAAAAAGCCAAAACCCTAAATTAGGGCTAAAATAATATCAGAATTTAGGGCGCTTTTCTTTTTCCTTCGGAATTTAGGCCGCATTTATATATAGCAAAGGAGAAAAAAAGTCATAATTGGTTTTGGACTCTCTCAAAGGCCCATTTTTTATTTATTCTCTGAAGGCGGTTCTATCGTAGCTTTCGTGTCCTATACTCATATTCATCCGTATCCAATTATTAAATTACGGTTATATGCTTATTTGTGTATTATTATTTATTTATTTTTGGGTAAAATGTATGAATTCATAGGAACGATTCATATTATTATTTTATCTGAGGTAATTATAAGTAATATATATTCTAAAGATTCTCAATAATTGATAATGAAAGTTCAAACACTCTTTATAATATTTGGTGTTCGAACCTGAACTTCTAGAAACAACAATCGTCCATTTAAACATTAAAATAACTTTGTTCGTACTTCTCTACTCTAATGTCAAAATAGCATAAAAAAATATTGTCACAAACACGCTCATATTATAAAGAGATTATTTCTATGACTCAAATCCAAATCATTTATACAAATAAATGTCCTTATTAAAGATTGAGGATTGAAGTTTAAGAAAACGTTTAAACAAGAAAAAATGATAAATTGATAATTAATTTTAATATAAATATTTTCAACACAACGATTTTGTATGCTTTTTAAAATTAAATATGATTTTTATAATATCTGATATTAATTAATTAATAATAAACCAAATATTAATTGGTTAAAAAAATTTAAAAATCGACCTAACTATTAAAAAAATATTTTTTTTAAGATTACTTCTCTTTCAGTTGAGTTGACTTGACTCACTATTACCATGCCGAATTGCATTTGTTTTAAGATAATAAAATATTGCTTTAGTGGAGGAAACTATAATTGTCACTTTAGTCTTTGAAATTCACAAATTCCAACTTCTATCACTGTGTTTTTAGTTGAAATTATTGTCTAAACAATTATGATTATCGACTATCGTAAATCTCATATGCATCTTAATTAAATAAATATTTAATAATATTATTAAAAAATATTTTTAAATAAGCGAAATATCTATTTTAAATATAGATTGACATAAATAAAAATTTATAAATTTCAGCCATTAATAAGTAATTTCCAATCCAAATTGAATTATGTAATGAAAAACTATATATATTAAAAATATAAAGAAGATGAACCAATCCCATCCACATAGACTTACTAAGAATAATTGGTTTCATGGTTGACTCGCCATAAACCAATAAGTCAAGGTCAAGCAGCGACTATTGTATCCCAAAAAGCAAAAGGAAGAAGGATCATTTCATCGGCATTTTAGTTCCATTCCAATGAGCTGAGGAGAAAAATAAGATGTTTCCCAGGAAAAATATCAATAAAGAAAGTGGGGAAAACGTATGGTAAGTCAGCGATGAGTGGGGCCTTTAATATTTATGAATGAATTTCTTCGAAGCAGGAAGGGTACTTGTTCCTATTGTTGTAATACTACTATATAAAGCCCAAGGTTGCAGTATTGGGTACAAGTGAGAGGATGGAGTACAAATGGGTAGCAATGCTTCTGTTAGCGTTATTAATGTTGGGAGTTGGGTGGAGTGAGGGGTGCGTGGAAGAAGAAAGACTCGTTCTCTTGCGACTCAAACCTTTCTTCCCTTTCATTGATTATAGAACTAAAGATCTGGGGCTACAGCTAGAGTACTACAAAGTGGAGGGAAGTGTGTTTGAGAGAGTAGAGGAAAAAGAGGGTTCACCAGATTGTTGTGAATGGGAAAGGGTTGAGTGCAACCCAACCACTGGACGAATCACTCATCTTTTCCTCAATTTTACATACGCAGGAGCCTATGATGATTACATTTATACAGAATCCAACACGAAAAAGAGGGTTCTACGGTATCTCAATGCCTCTTTGTTTCTTCCATTCCAGGAATTACAGTGTCTTTCCTTGAGTGGAAATTCCATAACTGGTTGTGTTACCAACCAAGGTTTATTGATTTTCAACTTTACTACCAAATACAAACGTCAAAGATTTTTTGTATGTTTTCAATTTTTTTTGTTCATCTTAATCTAACCGTTTGTAGGTTTTGGAAGCCTGTCATCCAAACTGGAGATCCTCGACTTGAGAAACAATTTATTTAATGATAGCATCTTAACATCCATAAGTGAACTTTCATCGCTCAAGTCTTTGAACCTAGCAGAAAATCTGTTTACAGGAACAAATCCTACAGATGGTAAATTAAATATCTAATTGTATATGAAACTTCCCACCAAAGTCATGGTTTAAAGAAGTTTTTTTCTTCTTCATACTATTGGTGACAGGTATTAAGATGTTATCAAACTGAAGAATTTGGAGACTTTGTATTTATCCAGCAACAGTTTAGGAAACAACATTCTATCGCAGCTAGATGTTTTTATCTCTTTAAAATCATTGCTTTTGGAGAATTGTGGACTGAAAGGAACCCTCAATATGTTAAGTAGGTTTCCTTTTTGAATCTCATGCTAAAATATGATAATCAGATTCATTTACATATATTTTCATTGCATATGAGCAGAACTTAGTAATTTGAGAAACTTGAAGGAGTTGCATGTAGGCGAGAATGAAATCGAGAGCCTCGGGTCTCGATTTCATGGTAACTCGTCTGGCTTTATTAATAGCTCCTTGAGCACAGAAGGACTGTCGAGGTTGAACGAACTTGAGGTGCTTGATTTAAGTGGTAATCTCTTTAACAACAGCATATTCGCATCCCTTGCTGGGTTCTCAAAATTGAAATCTTTGAATTTAAACTACAATAAATTGAAGGGGTCGATTCATATGAAAGGTAACATAACTTGTACTATGCCATCTTTTGGTTTTATATGATGAATTCTCCCCTCACTATTCTGTTGAATTTGAGCAGAATTCTGTAGTTTGATCAACTTAAAGAAGTTGTTTCTAGGCGGTAATGAGATTGAAAGCCTGGAACCTTTATTCCAAGGTAAGAAATTGACTTGGCTTTATTAATTGCTATTAAGTAGTTAAAAATATAAGAAAAATAATTAAATATTTTTTACAGATGAATTTACGTTATCCTTCTACATGAAAAGAACAATTGAGGTTGACTAAACTTGAAGAGCTTGGTTTGAATGGTAATTTGCTCGACAACAGCATATTTTCATCCCTAAGTGCACTTCCAAATTTGAAGTTTTTGGATTTAGGCTATAACCGATTGGGAGGGCCGATAAATATTAAAGGTAAATAAAACTTTCTTTTACCGTCTAGTGTAATGTATATAATAATATTATTAATCTAATATTCTAATTTTGTTGACTCGATTCAAATTGAAAATTATTTTATTAAAAAATTAATCAAATCATATTGATCAACATAATCTGACCTTGAATATTCCAAGTTCTAATCATCGATGTTTTGAATATAGTTTTCTGATTTATTTGTAATGTTTTGTTTAGATTTAAATGCATTAAGATATTTAGAGGAGTTGGTCTTATCAGGAAATGAGGTGACAGAATGATGTATATTATAATTTCTGAATCTTTCTCAGAATTAGATGGTTTGAGCAACTTGGAGGAACTGCATATTGGCTGCCATTCAGGTAATGCTAAAATAAAATTGTGGGTTTATGAATTAATTTGTTAGTATTTCAACAAAATGAATGAAGTAAATAAGAATATATTGTTTCATATAGGTTGCAGCCTTCCACAACAATTACTAAGCTCATTCTCCTCATTGAAGGCTCTATCCTTGAGTGGATTAACAACAATGGCTTTTCGTTCTCACAATAGTAAGTTATGATGTTTCCCACAAGTTAAATTCAGCTTCCTACATACATTTGAGACATGATAAATTGGTAGTCCTTTTCATTGAATGGATTGGGAGATTTCGACAAATTTGGAAGAGCTGACATTATACGATTCATCTCTCCCTCTCAACTTTTTTGGAAAGCTATCTTCTTTAAAGAAATTGCTTTTGCTTTCTTGTTACGTCGATGACAACCTCTTCATACCTGGTAATTACATCGTTTATTTACTGAATTCATTTTTTTTTCTTTAATGATTTTATAAGATTGTTTTGTTTGTCATACCATCTACAGAACGGGAAATTTGACAAGTTTGGAAGAGTTGGAGCTGGTATCATCATCTCTACCGGCCGAATTCATTCAACTTATTGGACCGCTCACTTCTCTTAGAAAATTCTATTTAAGTTTTGACATTAACTGCAATCTCTCTCTGCATGGTAAAAGACTAGTTTAGTTGTGTACTTCTCTGGTGAATGATGGTTGTTTATTTATAATACTACTATTCTCGCAGATTTTTGTGAATCCACCAATCTCCAAGAGTTTATCGTCTCCGGAAATGATCTCAGGGGTAGCTTACCGATGTGCTTCTCCAACCTCGCGTTTCTTGAAACATTAGATCTCTCTCGTAATGAATTTTCTGGACATATATCTGCCCTTCAAGGTCTAGCATCCCTCCAATGGTTGGACCTATCGAACAATGAGTTTCGAATCCCAAGCTCATTAGGACCCTTGTTCAACCTTTCAGAGCTCAAGTACATCCGCGCAGATAACAACATCATATATGCTGCTGATGAGATGCATTCTCCGGCCCCAACATTCCAATTGGTTTACATCAGTTTATCTTGTTGTGGACGCGGTGGAACATTTCCTCAATTCCTATATCATCAACATGACTTGAGGTCTGTTACTCTCTCAGACATATATTTCAAGCTGAACCAATTCCCCTTTTGGTTGCTGGAAAACAACACGAAATTGGAGAGTCTACATCTCGTCAACTGCTCTCTATCCGGACCTTTTCAACTGCCATTCCCTCGGCATTTAGTCTTATCAGATTTAGATGTCTCCACCAATTTCTTCATTGGTAGGATTCCGATACAAATCAGAGCTCATCTACCTTCGTTGAAGACTTTGAATATGTCGAAGAATTATTTTAACAGTAGCATCCCCTCTTCTTTTGGTGGTATGAGCTCACTGCTGTCATTGGACTTATCCAACAACCAATTGACTGGAGGGGTTCCTGAGCACTTGGCCGCAGGCTGCTCCTCATTGGAATTCCTTGCATTATCCAATAACACATTACAAGGAGCAATTTTCTCTGGAAATTTTAGCTTAATGAGTCTGTCCGTACTAAAATTAGATGGAAATAACTTCTCTGGAATGATCCCGGTGTCTTATCTAATTGTTCTAACTTGTATAAGCTTGATCTCAGCAATAACTATCTTTTCGGCAAGATACCAAGTTGGATTGAGAGAATGTCTACTTTGTCAGAATTGATGTAAGTAGAAACCAGCTCTCTGGTAGGATACCACAATGGATGGGAAATAATTCAAGTTTGGAACAAATTGCCATGGCAGATAATCATCTTGAAGGTTCAATACCAAGGGCATTTTGCAATCTCAATCTCCAACTTCAGTTTTTGGACCTTTCCATGAACATCTCTGGGACTCTGCCATCTTGTTTCAAGCCGTCACGTATAAAGGAAGTTCATTTGTTTAAGAATATGCTGCAAGGACCGCTCCCGAATGCTTTTCGTGATTGCTCTTTACTGGTGACATTGGATCTCAGCTATAACCACTTTGGCGGTAACATTCCAAATTGGATTGGCAACCTCTCAGAGTTGAGTTATCTTCTATTGAAGAGAAATCACTTTGAGGGTGAAATTCCAATTCAATTATGCATGTTGGCTCATTTAAGCATGATTGATCTTTCTCAAAATAATCTGTCTGGTAGCATTCCTTCTTGCCTAAAAGTTACTCCGCTCGACTTCGGACCAGACGATTATAGTTGGATTTCTTATAATTACTTTGGGTCAAATAGCTCAATATCCATGGAAGAACCAATAGAATACACAATAAAGAGTAGATCATACACTTACAAGAAAAAACGCTTCAATACATGTCTGGAATTGATCTCTCCTGCAACAAGCTAACTGGTGAGATTCCTAATGTAGTTGAAAACATACAGATGCTCTTTGCTTTAAACCTTTCCCACAATAGCTTGACAGGACCAATCCCGCGGGCGTTTTCTAACCTCAAGGACATGGAAAGTCTAGATCTTTCCTACAACAATTTGTCTGGGAATATCCCTCCTGAGTTTGCGGTGTTACATTTCTTGGAGTACTTCAATGTGTCGTACAACAACTTATCTGGAAAGACGACAGAGAGGGCTGGGCAGTTGGGAGCCTTTGATGAAAGCAGCTATTTGGGTAATCCTTTTCTTTGTGGTTCATTGGTAGGAAGGAACTGCTCGCCCATCGACGTTGCACCACCATTGACACCAAAGGCTTCAACTGGCAATGCAGAAGACCATGGTTTAATTGATATGGATGCCTTCTATGCAAGCTTCTTCGCGTGTTACATAGTGGTGGTGTTGTGTATCGCAGGTGTTCTGTACATAAATCCTTATTGGAGGCAAGCATGGTTCTACCATGTACAAACGATCGCTAATTCTTGCTACTATTTTGTGGTAGACAATCTCCCCAGAAAATTTCGTGGTGGATATATGTAGTTTAGTAGTATTCATTTCCCCCAAAAGAAAGTTTCAACTTTTTAGTTTTTGGATATTCTGTTCAGAATTTAACTTTACTGCAACAATGATCCCGTTTCGAAGAAAGAATCGATCACTGTTAATCAATTTAATTAACTTACAATGTATTTATTTTGTGTTTGTTTACATTGTGTTGGATTGCTCCGCTCTCCAATTTCAAGCACGCGAAATCAAACAAAAGATGCCACAAATAATGGGAAATGAGACAAATTGGAAGAACTGCACAACTTGACTAGCTATGGTTGCTGTGTTTGCAGTTAGAAGAATGAACATGGCCACCACGTGCATTGGGGTTGCTGGAATCAACATTTATAGCAAAGTGGCCATTTCCATTAGCCGGACTATGCAAATCACCATTTTCTGACTTTGAATCGCGTGAATCATCACTAACCTCCACGTCTACATTGTAACCTTTGAAAAGGAAATCTGAGCAGTTCTAGCGGCATCCCTGATCATATGGATTTCTGAATAGACCACCGGCATCCCTGAGGTGGCTATAGCGCATTACGTTTGCCATTTCGTTCGTTGTTATATTGTATGATATCTATAGCAAGAATAGAACAAAATGAGTCGATGAGCTAGATATGAAACAATATCCAGATCCAAAACTACAAGCACCACAAAAGGTACAACAAGCATGGCAATTATGCCATAAAGAAAATGCGTAAGGCTATACATATTGCAGATGGTTGGCTTGCTTTAACCCTTGATTGAGGTGTCTTAAACTGTAAATATCGCTGCTGGAATGGTGTATGTTGATTGTGTAACTGAAATATAGTTGACACATTCAGTCAATCCATAATCATTAATAAGCTCCTATGAGTTAAATTAAAATATAAGCCGCAACTTGCATGTATGGTGTCGACGAACTAATCTAGTTTAGGACGACAAATTAGCCCCAAAAAATATTTTTTTTTCTATTGTGGCCAGCCCACGACCATGAAAAGTATTTCCAGAAAGAGACAAGTAGAGATCACAAAATCTCAAGTCATACCTGAGAAGCCTGTACAGCGGTTAACGCTGCCACACCAAAAAAGTGGAAGATATTCACAGCCAAAAATGATATGGCACTGATATGATGTGTACCAGCATGGTTCATCCATGGTAAAAATGAGGATGGAGCCATTGGATCCATCAAGATTCCTGTATATGACAAGAACACATATTAATAGGGTATTCAAGGTGAGAAAGAATTTGTCAAGCTTTCTTTGGAAATGTTTAAATTTGGAACTGATTAAAAGACATACTTGTAATAGTAACTCCACCAGTAATCAACATTGCAGATACTTCCAAGACAAGGAAAAGGAAAAACTCCCATTTGTTTTTCTGCATCACAAGATAACTAAATGGAATTAGCAAGAGATACATCGACTACCAATCAAATGATGAAAATATCAATCCCTTTCCACACAGGAGAATAACACATGACAATATAGTCACCAACAAGCCCCTTTGGTAGTCTTACATGCAACGAATGCAACATCAAAATAATAATATCAGGGGGAAAAACATTTAACCCATCAGCAACAAAGCACCTTGCCAATACAATTTGATACCCAAGGGCAGTGATGGTCAAATTGTTCAACACAACAATTACAAGTGGAGCAGTGTTTAGCGCGAAGAGGCCTGACAATCTGATTATGTTATCAAATAACAAAGCAAAACAATCAGAATAAATAGAATCAAATGAGTAACATAGAAGCAATACAGGCCATATTAGGGGATCACCTTGCATGTTGCACAAAGCTGAAACCAATATCCAGCAGCAGGATTATTTATTTCAATCTTCAATAAGGGTTCCTACAGAACTTACAGGATACATATGCATATAATGTAGTGAGAAAATACATCAATCATAAAAGAAAAAAAAGCATATACAAGATTGGAAGAAATATATTACATAGGACTGACAACAGTTAACTTTCATGAAGGAAAAGATTAACAAGTCAAACAAAAATCAGTTAGGCTTCATAGGGGAAACTGAACGCACATCATCTACCATATTTTGAGGATCATGGACATTCATCCTGATATAACCGGGATCCTTGCTGCAAAGAAATTCAAAATGCAAAATAACTACATAAGTACACTCTTTACTGAATCCAATGCCTAGTTCAATTTATAATGTATCTCATATTATCTTATAGATTCATATACATGATATACAGCCCTTTTTAAATCTTTCAATGCATGATACACTATTTTTTGAAGAATATAACAACCCCCTGCCACTCTAAGCCACCTCATTCCCACTCCTTCAACATAAGATTTGACTAACATAAATAAACATGAGAAAACAGCAGAATTTAATTGCTATCACAAGAAGGAACAAACATTAAGGGTCTGCTTGGTTGAGTGGAAAAGTGGAGAGAGGGAGTTAAAAAGTGGAAAGAAAATAAATTTTGAGTGAGCTTGGTACGTAAGAAAAGTGAGAGGAAAGAGAAAGAGAAGGATGCTTATTTTCCATCCTCATGTGTAAAACAAATCATTCCAATTTGGAATGATAAGATGAGAGAAAATGAGAGAGAGATGCCAGTTAGTCAAAACTGATGTATCTTTAAAAGCTTACGTCAATGAGGTTTCTTTAAAAGCAACATGTGTTATCTGCATCAAATTACAAAACTAAGTATGCACCATATGGAGTTTGAAATAAAAGCAAGAAGCACAACAATTCAGTTATTATCCTGTAAATGCACAATTAAATTGCAAAAGTAAAACGCCACTAGGACAAGGCTTCAGGATATAGAAACCTACCTACCCTCATGGTCTTTTCGTCTAGGAAAATAAAATTTTCCAAAAAAAAAAAAGTGAAGAACAATTCCATTATTTTACGTGATACCATAATGGGGAAAAATGATTAGTGGGCTAAAGTAAACAACAAAGCGAAGAATGAAAGATGCTTTCAGACTGTATAAGGGAATGAATATCATTTCAAGCTACATACATAGCCTTAACTAAAATGCATGACCAAAACATGCCTTTTCTGTTCCTGAAAATAGAAATATGATTCAATTGTTTTATAGAAACCATATATTGCTGAGTTCAGTTGCTCCTCTCCATGTGCCTAAAAAGATGAGGCATATGAAAATATAAACCCACTTCAAGCAGAGAAGAATGTTTAAAACAGCTACTATTGTTTAAACAGTAACTTACTTTACTGATCCCTCATGTCCATATTGAGGAAACATCACTAATTTATTGAATTCAGGAATATGGCACAAGGCACCATAACGAAGACAATCCAACCTGGTAGCCATTATTGTCAGCGGCATCCACTGCAGTACCCTCTTGGAGTAAAACCTCAGCAACCTGTATTGCACCCCGGACTGCACTCCAATGCAAGGCCGTCTGTCCATTATGATCTGCTGCATTTACATCTCCACTATGCTACAAAAACGAGACAACCAAAAACTACTCAGGTTAAACTGAATTTAGCCCAATGACAGCTTCAAGGTCAATGATATAACTAAGCCTGAAACCTAAACAATTCCAATCCAAAATTCAAAATGCATGAGTGTCTAAATCCAGTAAACCCATTAAAAATCCCAACTCTGACGAGAACGCCAGCAGAGCAAAATCATCAAAATAACCACCAAAAGAAAAGAGAAAACCTCGATGATGTAATGAGCAGCGGCTGTTCTATTATTCAAAGCTGTCCACTGGATGGCATAGTAACCAAGGCCATCAGGCTCGGCAAGAGAGCAACCTTCGTATTCAACCAACCTCATGGAGCTTCTCCAAATCCCCATAAGCAGCAGCCGCGTAGACATCGTTCCTCAAGCTCTCATCATTAGCAACCTCATTATTCCTTCCATTATACCCATTTCCATTCGCTACATCATCACCGGATTGCTTCGAGGACAGAACTTCTTGCACCACCTCGATCTCCGACGACATTTCTCAACAGGCTAGCAAAAAAAGCACAATTTTATTCCTTTTTAATGATCCGGGTTCACTTTTTTTCTTTAAAAAAATGAAATCTGGTTTGGCTTTGTTTCGCAATAAATATTTCGGTTGTCGTTTATAGTTTTCGGGAAATAACGTGAGTTTGGGGATCGTTGCGCTTGGCGTCCTCTGCCGTGCTGACTGATGAGGCCGCCCAAGCGAAGCCGACCCTACTTTGCCTAAGTTAATCGATTGTCTTGTCTGTAGGAATTTAACTCATATATTCGACGAGGTGCTCTTCCTGTTTCATGGGGAATTTTAGCTTACAGAAATTTTCAATATTTTCACATAACCCCTTTTAAGTTTACCTTTTTTCCAGCATTGCGCATTTGGATTCAGATGTAGTTAAATTTAATCATGTTTTTCGTTCTAATGACAATTTAGATTTTTATAAATTAAAATATTTAAAATAAATATCAATAATTTCTAAAGTATATAGTTAAAAATTATTAGTTGACACATATCTCTCTTCTAGATTGAACTAAAAAAATTCTCCTCTCCTTGTCTAGGTAAGATTTATTTAAAAAATATATAATTAGATAAATATATAATAAGCTCTTGTATTTTTTAAATTTGATAATTCAACTCCTCTTGATATTTCATCCTTGCTTTATTGTCATTTAGTGACGAAACTAGACATTTTATTTTATAGGGGTCAATTATTAAAAATAATTTTAATAATAGCTTTATCTATTAAATCTTGTATATTTATATGTGATTTCATTAAACAAATATAGATCTATTATATATTTTTTATATAAATTATCCACTAAGATCTTCTCGGAAAGAAAAAAAATGAAATTATAGTAGTTTGTGTTGACACTTAAATTATAGATGAAACACCAAAAATATTAAGAAAACTAAAAGGAATTTACCTTTATTTATAGAATAAGGTAAAAGTCTATAAGTGTTTAAAATATTATTTGAGATTGTTGAAATTTTTTATTTTTCATCCATTAAAATTTTGAAGAAAAAACAAATATTGACCTCTTCTAATGTAATTTTTCTTATTTTATTTTATTTGAAAGTACTATAAAAATAGAGAAAAAGAATAAAATCATGGTTTGATAGATAAAAAATAATATTGAAATAAAAATAAAAATAATTATATTTATAGGTATACTAATTATATATTATTAATATTTTTTTAGTTAAGTAAAAATAATAATATTTCAATAAATAATTTTAAATTCATATATTTATGATTTTTATTTATGAGATTTTAAATTGTATATATAAATTTTATATTTTGATAATATCAATTTAATTTCATTTATAAACATATAAGTATTTATGTATATTAATATGAAATTTTAACAATTTTAAGATAACGACACATTTTTTTTCAAATATTCTAAGCGAGGTAAATAGATTTTATAAACTTTGAAATATATTATAACGATTTCCCAGATTTTGAGGGGTCATGATCCCCGTATAGTTCCGCCTCTGCTGTCACTGACCGAACTAAAATCAAATTAAAATTTTATTAATTTAATTAATGATTTTTTTGGTTTAATGATAAAAATTGAATCGATCTTATAATTTAGTTATCAATAGAATCGTTTATTCTATTTAGTATCATTAATTAGAGTAAGTTTATCTTATAAGGTAACGAGATGAGGATGGATGATTTTTGTTATCCCGATCTTAATTTAAAAAATCAACATCTTTAATTGATTTCGACTTTTGATAATATTTTCTCATCTCGAATCTTAAAAGTAAAAATTAAATATAATTTAATTTGATATGATTTTTTCACTAATCAAATAACTATTTTCAAATCTCTTCAAATTTTCCCAATTAATATCAATTTCTCAGTAACTAAATAAAATTGAGTTAATTGCATTAAATGTCCTAGAAGTATGACCTTCATATTAAATTGGTCCTTAATTTTTTTAAATATTTCAATTTCATCCCTAAACTATGTCTATCATTCTAAATCAGTCATCAAACTTTTGAATATTTTAATTTCATCCCCAAACTATGACCTTCATTCTAAATTGGTTCCAAACTCGTTGAACATTCCAATTTCATCCCGAACTATATGCATATAGTAATCACATCCCTTGTTAATAAAATCGTTAAGCCAAGTTATATTATATATGTTTGAAAAAAAAGGCTAAATTGTGATTGAAACTAATTACATATTCAGATGAATTTGGAATATTCAAAATTTTGGGGGACCAATTTAGAAAGAGATACATAGTTTAGGGATAAAATTAGAATATTCAAAAGTTTGGGGACTAATTTAGAATGAGAATTATAGTTTAGGGATATATGTTGTAATTATCTTAATAAAATCTTATGAACTAAAATTAAATTTTTTGACCTCAACCCCCTAAAAAGAACCATTGATTCAGTATTAAGATGAAAAACATTATTTTAAAAAATAGAGAACTGGAACATGTAAATCCAAAACTAAAATAAAAATATTAATGAATTATAAATTAAAAACGTATAATAAATCATAGCATAAATTAGAATGAAAAATAAAAATATGAAAATAACATAAAACGAAAGTTAAATATAAAAATAAGAAACATGTAAAGGAAAAGTATAGAATGAAAATGAAACATAGAAAAACAAAAATAATGAAAATTAAAAAAGGATAAATTAGAAGGAAACAAGAGAATTAAGCAACAAATGAAAATAAAAAATTAAATTCTAAAAGTGTTTATATAAAATAATATTTTTACAAATATAATAAATATATAATTAAAATCATTTTAAATTAGTACGAACCAAACAACTTTTATTGTTAAAAGTTTTTTTTTAATAATTTTGTAAGGTTTTATTGTCAAATAATTATTGAGGGTGTTTGAGCAAATATTATCTTATATTTAATCTAAATTTATTAAAAAATAATATTTTAAATTAAACGAGATTAAAATATTTTTATTAATTAGAGATTAAATAATATCTATTCAAAGATAACTCTAAAATTTTTGACACTGAATACTTACAAATATGGCATTCATAGTATTTGAATCCAAAACTTCAAAAAATAACTATAATTTTTTACTACCGGGATCATTGCATTAAAATTTTATCTTCTTTTCTTAAAAAATGTTATTATTCACTTTAAAATTTAAATTTTAAAAAGTATATAAATAAAATATAAAATCAATCAAATCCTAATGTTTTCTCATCTGCCATCATGGAATTCCATAGCCTCACGGGTGAAACCGTGAAAGGACAAAAACAATTTAACCAAAATGGCAAAATTCGGTGATTCCAGGATGGCGTCAAGTCAAATTTAATGTACTGTATAAATACTATTTCTAAACCAATTTCTTCTACTTCCATTTCACTTACCTCCTCTCATCCAAATTTGGTAAATATCAAATTTTGAAAACCAAAAGAGAAAATAATTTCAGTGACAAAAAATGCCTTATAATATATGATTTTAATCAATTTTTTTTGAATTTGTCAAAAAGACCAACTAAATCGTAATGCGATCGATAATTCGCAACGCGATCTCCGGTATCGCAAATCAGTTTCCAGATTCGCAACGCGAACTTCGACTATCGCATTGCGATTTACATATTCGCATTGCGATAGTCCAAGTTCGCGTTGTGATAGTCGAAGTTCGTGTTACGATTTTCCAAATTCGTTGCGATAGTCCAAGTTCGCGTTGCGATTTATTCCAAATTTGTTGCGATAGTCCAAGTTCGTGTTGCGATTTATTACAAATTCGTTGCGATAGTCCAAGTTCGTTGTGATAGTCCAAGTTCGTTGCGATAGTCGAAGTTCGCGTTGCGATAAACCAAAATCGCGTTGCGATAGTCAAAGTTCGCGTTGCGATTTTCCAAATTCGTTGCGATAGTCCAAGTTCACGTTGCGATTTATTTCAAATTTGTTGCGATAGTCGAAGTTCGCGTTGCGATTTATTCCAAATTCGTTGCGATAGTCCAAAATCGCAACGACTGGTGGTATTGCATTTGTTTCTTAAGAATTTTCTCTAAAAAGATAGTATTCGCGCGGACGTGTCGAAGATACGTATTACCACGACCACGACCACGAGACGAACGGCGGCGGCGGCGGCGGCGACGCGCGAGAGTCCCCCTTGTTCTCTATCACTCAACAAGGAAGTAGGAAAGCCAAGCCTTAAATACCATTCCCAATAGTGTTTCCAATACTATGTGGGATTGAACATTACCAACACTTGTCTCCAATACTATGTGATTATTCAGGAAACAATTAACAATCATGCACCTTAAAACAACTGAATTAGCAACCAATTGCATTAGTATTATACGATTAAATATGTCATAATTAAAAGTCAATCTACAATCAATCACGATTATTGCAATTTTAAGCAAAACATTAAAAAAAATTGCATCACTCGCGAGAATAAAAAAAATTGTTATCATGAAATTACAATCAATTGAAAATAAATTAGAAATACATGAAAACTAAACGAACTAAAAATACTTTTCATACAAATACTAAAGTCATTAACTATAATTCACAAATAATATCACTATTTAAGGCTCAATCCCACATAATATTAGGAACAAGTGTTGGTAATGCTCAATCCCACATAGTATTGGAAACACTATTGGGAATGGTATTTAAGGCTTGGCTTTCTCACTTCCTTGTTGAGTGATAGAGAACAAGGAGGACTCTCGCGCGCCGCCGCCTCTGCCGCCATCCGTCTCGTCTCGTGGTCGTGGTCGTGGTAATACGTGTCTTCGACACGTCCTCGCGAATACTATCTTTTTAGAGAAAATTCTTAAGAAACAAATGCAATACCACCAGTTGTTGCGATTTTGGACTATCGCAACGAATTTGGAATAAATCGCAACGCGAACTTCGACTATCGCAACGAACTTGGAATAAATCGCAATGCGAACTTCGACTATCGCAACGCGAACTTGGACTATCGCAACAAACTTGGAATAAATCGCAACGCGAACTTCGACTATCGCAATGCGAACTTGGACTATCGCAACGAATTTGGAATAATCGCAACGCGAACTTCGACTATCGCAACGAACTTGGAATAAATCGCAACGCGAACTTCGACTATCGCAACGAACTTGAAATAAATCGCAACGCGAACTTCGACTATCGCAACGAACTTGGAATAAATCGCAACGCGAACTTCGACTATCTTAACGCGAACTTGGACTATCGTAACGAATTTGAAATAAATCGCAACGCGAACTTCGACTATCGCAACGAACTTGGACTATTGCAACGAATTTGGAATAAATCGCAACGCGAGCTTGGACTATCGCAACGAATTTGGAAAATCACATTGCGATAGTCGAAGTTCGCGTTGCGAATCTGGAAACTGATTTGCGATACCGGAGATCGCGTTGCGAATTATCGATCGCATTGCGATTTAGTTGGTCATTTTGGTAAATCCAAAAAAAAATTAGTTAAAATCGTATATTATAAGACATTTTTGGTCACTGAGGTTATTTTCTCAAACCAAAAACCCTATGGTTTACCCTAATCGGACCCAGACCCAGACTGTGCTCAGGTTTTTCTTTTTATCCTTCTTTCTTTGTATTTTCACTATTTTTCAATGTATTTTGCTTTTTGTTAAATGATTTCATTTTTTCCTTTAGGAGTGCTTCTGTTTTTAGAACAGTTAAGTCAGCAATGGACGTGGGTAGTTTCAGTCCATTTGAAAAGAGCATCTGGGTTTGTTCTGTAATGGACGCTTTGTTGGCTGAGACTTTAGTTCTGGCCGGAAAGTCTGTTGCTTGCCTTCTCATGCTGGTATATTTACTCTATTATTTCTAAAGTTTTTCCCCACTTTTAAACTTGTGTTGTTTGCTTCATTTGCTATTTTCTACTTTTTGGGGTTTGCCCCCAAAAAATTACATTTGTTTATTTTTAAGGTTATGCTGCTTGTAGTGTGTTCTCCCCCAACACATTTACTGAATTTGGTGGTTGACTTCACTCTCTTTTTGTCTTCATTGAGTCCTAGAATTATTACATTTCTGTTATGAATTTGTACATTGGTTGTTGTTAAGGGCAAGCTTTTCTTTCAGCTATTGAAACTGTGTGGACCACCTATTGGGGGTCATAAGTTTTCCTCTTATTTTTAGAATAGGCGTTTGTGGAAGCTTCACTTGTTTGCACCTTTTCTTTCTCTTTTAATTGATTTCATTACGTTTTATAGCTTCTCGATTACTGAAATTTTTACTTACCTGAAATGGTGATTTTTAACATATTAGTTTAAGCTTTGGTACGATAATAAATATGATATTGCTACTAGAAAAGAATATGCTTTTTATTGTATTGTTGTCTGCAATTGAACAATTCCATATTCTTTAATGTCTAGCGATGGACATTGTCGTCTGTGGGCCCTGCAAATTTTTATTTTTAGTTAGATTCAGTATGAGATACTGGAATCCTTCTATACCACATCTAATGGTTTCCAACCGTTAACGGACATTTCCCCTGCACCTTGCAGTACTTGGGATCTATCTCTCTGTGTTACAGTGCATCCCAAAACCATAACGTTTATATTGAGTTTCATTGTGTGCTACCATTTATGAATAAGATGGGTAAGATTGCTTTCGTTATCATTTCATACAGGACTGAGTTTGGGAACCCTGGGGCAAACATGAAAGTGTATCTAGATAGCTTATACCCCACCAAATTGATATTAAAGATTTTAGTTTATGATTCTTGATTTGTGGCATTGAAGTTATTTCTGACTCATTTTGGGAAGTCTGAATTTATCTTTGTTTGATGATGAACATGATTATTTTAATCATTTGAATAAGTTGCTAACATGTCAATATAAAAAAATGTTGGCTTGCAAATAATCTCATACCGTGTTGGTTACTGTTGCACCCCTATGTCAATGGACCATTTTTCCTTTTCCTTTTTCTTTGATCTTATGTTCTGGGCGGTAATATTCTTATAATGTCGATCTGCATCATTTAATGTGCGTAGAAGCTTGTTGCCTATGATAAGCCTAAATCATTTATTTGCTTATTTATAGCATTTTGCTCAGTATACTTTCTGACATGATTGAAGATGTTCCAGACAGGAACGGTGTTGAATGATATGAATGCATCACTTAATTTGACTGCAGTGGATCAGAGGTAATGGAATTTCTTCCCTTTTTTATCTTAATTTACCATCCATCAATCATTGGTGAGGAAATCTGACAACTGGTTGGATTGACTTCTTTTTCAGGTTTCCGTTTGACGAACTTCTAAAAAGAGAACAGCCTGGTCCAGAAAACAAAGATGGCAGTGATACAGAGGATGATGACGAAGATGAAGAGGACAAGGTAGATGATGACGATTTCTTAGCCGAAGAAGGTGAGGAAGGGGATCCTGAGGATGACCCTGAAGCCAATGGGAATGGAGGAAGCAGTGACGAGGATGATGACAATGAGGACGATGACGATGCTGATGATGAAGAAGAGGAGGATGAAGAAGACGAGGATGATGAGGTTCCTCAGCCACCTTCTAAGAAGAGGAAATGAAACTAATCATCGGCCTTCAGATATTCTACTATTTCCTGCATTTTTCCTCTGATGAGGAAATTTTAGTAGGGAGGGAGAATTCGTTTCGTTTGTTTTCTTAGAGTAGAAGATTCACTTTTCCGGACAAACCTTATTTCCGGCATTTTTCATGTAGTCATGTTACAGGTGGTTATGATATATATCATTGCATCTCGAACTAACAGTCGGGCCTATTTGTTTAGCAGACCTTGGTATCCTTGCTTGCATGTAGTAGTAGGATTGATGGATTATGTCTTGGGTTTGATCAAGCAATCGACTGTAAGTTGGAAACTGAAGTTTATTCAGTTATGACAAAATTAGCTGGATGGAAATCACTGATCTTGCACGTCAAGACCTGTGGTTTCCAGATCTCGAGATCATGTCTTTCTAAGCTACCTAGCAGTTTTTGCATGTGATGGTACTCGTGTCTGGACTTGATTTCGATACAGAGAAATATGTCAGGAACATATTGGAGTTTGATCTGAAACGAGTGTTGAAAATAGGAGGAATAAGCAACTTTCAGTAGGCGTTACGCTTTTCAAAGATTATTACTGATTACTACCCCCAACAAGCAACTGCACAAAAATTGACAACTGTATTATTTCGAGCACAATATGAGGCCAAGACTGTTACCTGGACACACAAATTATATCAAGAAAATTTAACGATACATGTATTTTTTTTCAAGGTAGGTATATGAGCAACTACAAACTATAATCATCAACCGTGGTGGACTTGTACGAACTGCACAATGGAAAGGTATACCTAGAACACTATTGGTTTGGATGGAGAAAACGATGGAAGGCTCAGAAACAAAGTCAATCACCCGGAAAAGTTTTGTTGTTATCAACATCGAGCAATCGGCACTGTCAACATATGGAATGCATTGATAATTTTCACTAGTTCAGATTGAATGAATTATTTGTTGGAGTTGTCAGCAAGGAAATATAGTTTTACAACTGTAGATAGAACCTTCGACTTCATCAAGTAACCCTAACCTAAGTCAATTCTTAATGATGCTCAAATGTAAGGGTTAATAAAAACATCTCCACTTCTGTGAGCCCCATATTTTAATCATTCTCATCACTATGCACAACCACGTTTTTAGTCTCAGATTCCGAGCTGGCTCGTAGATCAACCAAGCATCAACCCATGATTGTCGGCCACCCACGCGCAGCCCCATCCTATGCCCATGCCTCCACCGAGCAGCCCCATGCATTTGCCCATACACTGCTGCTCCAACACATCTACCAACAACAATTGTTTTTTATTTTTTTATATGTAATGGATTCATAACCCAACGAAAAAGGAAGGTAAATGGGGGTCATTTTGACAGTGTAAAATGGGGGAGTTTCATTTTTTGGAGGGGGAAGATAACCCGAAAGAAAAAAAAAGAATGTAAAAACACTTTTTTCACTGGGAATAAAAAGCACAGAACCAGGCCACTCTGGTAATAAAACTCCCAAGGTTTCTCCAGTGCATGTTAGTTGGCCTAACGGATCTGAGGATCCCCATCGCGTTCAGCGCCTTCATTCTTCTTCCGTATTTTGATTTTCTCCTGTTTATTTCGGTCCCAAATCACTTTCTTGAGCGAACACCCAATGAATTGGAGAGATCTTTTTGGGCGCACAGTGGGTCAAGGCTTAGATTTCTTCCCTCCTTCTGCTCGCGATGGTTCCCCAGTGGTCCATCCTCCCCAGAGGTCCTTCAATATGGGATTTCTGAATGGAACCTCTCGCTCGTGGGTCAATTTCTTGGAGCAGCACCCAGATTCGCATCTATGCAGCGGATTGTGGTGAACCTTTAGAAGAAAGCTTTAGCGGGAAATCACGTAAAGGTTAGCTACGTTGGAAACAATCTTTATGTTTTATCATTTTCTACTGAATCTGATAGAAATTGGGTATTAGAGAACGAACCATGGCACATACTTAACAAGCCCTTGATTCTTAGGAAATGGGAACCAAAACTGTATAGACTGAGCTTTGATATGTCTAGGTTACCTGTTTGGGTACACCTCTATAATGTGCCCCTTGAACTCTTCAACCGTGCTGGCTTAAGTTACATTGCGAGTGCCATTGGAATTCCCCTTTCCATGGACTCTATTACAGCTGCTAAACACACCTGGAATATGCTAAAATTTGCATAGAGATAGGGGTAATTGATGAAATTCCTAAATTCATAGAGGTGATGGTTAATGAAGAAACAAATGTTTCGGTTGCTATAGAGGTGCCTTGGCTTCCACCTCGATGCAAATTCTGTTGTATCTTTGTACATTCAGATAAAAGTTGTAAAAATTCAAAAATTCAAGCTCCAGTCAAGACTCAAATTTGGAGGAAAAAAGAAGAACAACCTCAAATTATTGAGGTTGAGTCTGCTGTTGGGGGAATCGAGTTCTTACAAGAAAATCAGCTTCCCTCTATTCAGGATTCTAAAGAGCAAAACCATAATGATGAAGTCCCTGATCCTGCTAGCAAAGAACTTGATAAGGATCCTAATCTCACTGTGGAGGAACCAGTAGAGGTTCCACAAAACTCTGAACTATTTGCTCCTCCATATACTAATGAGGGTGATAGCTCTCGGACTGTTACTAAGAAAGGCAGGGGTAGGCAAACCAAAGACAAGTTAAATCCATCCCTAGCTGCTTCCTCTAATAGAATTGATGTTCTTAACGGGGTCGATGATTCTAATCTTGTAGCAGCAGTACCTAACCGAAAAACCAGAAAGTCTGCTTTAGGTGTAGCCATCTTAGTAAATGATCTAAAATCAAAGAAGAAAGATAAAATAGTGATGGCTAAGTCCAATGTTGAAGATGGCAATGAGGTTGACATTCCCAAACTTTCTCAATTATTGTTGCTTTTTGGAACGTTAGAAGACTAAATTGTCCTCTAAAACAAGAAAAAGTTCTTAAAAGAGCTATCCAGAATAAAGTTGAAGTTCTTGGTCTTTTAGAAACCAGAGTTAAAGCTGACAAGGCTGGAAATATACTACAAAACAAATTTAGAAATTGGACTACTGCTATAAATTATGATTTTGCTGTAAATGAAAAATTTGGCTTCTTTGGAAAAACTGGTCTGGATTTTTCTGTTATTCATACTTCTGACCAATGTGTGTCTATCAAAGGCTCTCATCTTTGTACATATCTCACTATTACTGCTGTCTATGGGAGTAGAAGATCCCTCTGGCAACAACTTCGACTCATAAATTCCTCCGCTGGTCAATTCCCTTGGATTCTTAGAGGTGATTTTAATGTCACTCTTCACCCCAATGAGAGTTATGACTCTGTTTTTCTAGGTCCTATAATTTCTTCATGTATGCAAGAATTTCAAGATATGATTTCTGACCTCGATCTCCTAGATCACTCTTTTTTGGTCCAACCTTCACCTGGAGTAACAAGCATCAAAATTTTTTTCTTGCTAGGAAGCTTGACAGAGTCTTAGTTAATCCTATCTGGACGTGTAGTTTTAAAAGTTCTTATGTTGAATTCCTTCCTCCAGGAATTTCTGATCATTGCTTATCTTTAGTTTGGCTCTCCAAATATGTTCAAGCTAATAGACCTAAACCTTTAAAGTTCTTCAATTTATAGGCTCATCACCCTAACTTCTTGAATATTGTTCAACAATCTTGGACCATTCCTACTCAAGGAAATCCAATGATGTCCCTTTTTTTTCTAAACTCAAGCGTCTGAAAGTCAGGCTTAGAGAACTCAATCATTCTAATTATAATGATATATCTATAAGGGTTCTTCACAAGAAATATGAATTGGAGTTCCAACAACTTAAAACTCTTAGGGGTGAGGATTCTATTGAAAAGGAAATTCAGCTGCAAAATGATCTTAAATCTCTCGAATCAGCTGAAACTCTATTTTTAAAGAAAAAATCAAAGATACAATGGCTTAAAGAGGGCGATAAATGTTCCAAATTATTTCATTCTACTCTTGCTCTAAAGCATAAAAGGGATACCATTCGAATCCTTGTTGATGACTATGGTAATAGGTTGGAATCTTTTGATTCTATGTCAGTAGAGGTGATTAATTTTTTTACTAAATTGATTGCACTATTGACTATAAGGTGAAAGCTATCGATCATTCCTTGTTGAAAGACATTCAGCACTCCACTATTACTGAGGACAATGCTCATGGTCTTATTAAGGAAATCACTAATGATGAAATTAAGACTGCCTTCTTTTGTCAAGGAAATGACAAGTCTCCTAGGCCAGATGGCTACACTCCTTTCTTTTTCAAAAAAGCTTGGCACATTATAGAAAAAGATGTCGCTGCTGCTGTTAAGTATTTCTTTCTTGAGTCTTCTCTTCTCCCAGATTTTAATGCTACAATAGTAGCATTGGTTCCTAAAATCCCTAACCCAAGCAAAGTTAAGGATTTCAGACCAATTTCATGTTGTTCAGTTTTTTACAAGGCTATATCAAAAATTCTGTTTAGCAGACTACAAAAGCTCATTCCAGATTTAGTCTCCCTAAACCAGACGACTTTTGTTAAAGGAAGAAACATTGTGGATAATACTCTTCTTGCTCAAGAATTGGTCAAAGGTTATAATAGAAAAAATATATCTCTTTGATGCTCTCTTAAGATCGATCTCTATAAAGCCTTTGATGCTCTTCACTGGAATTTCATCTCTGCCATTCTTAAAGCTATTGGTCTGCCTCCAATCTTCATCAAATGGATTGGAATTTGCTTCTCTACTCCAAGATATTCCATAGCCTTCAATGTGACCTTAATTGGTTTCTTTAAAGGAACCAAAGGAATTAGACAAGCAGATCCCCTTTCTCATTTGTTATTTGTTCTTTCAATGAATGTCCTCTCTAGACTTCTTAATCTAGCAGCTGACAGAGGTGTTTTTGGGTACCATCCTAAATGCAAAAGAATAGGCCTCACTCACATATCCTTTGTTGATGACCTCTTAATTTTCTGTAAGGGTTCGATTGATTATATCATTGGGGTCACTAGTGTCTTAGATTTTTTTATGAGATATCTGGCCTAAAGCTTAATGCCTCAAAATGCGACTTTTATGATGTTGGTTTACACTCTTCAATTCTTAAGGAAATTCATCTAGTCACTGGTTTTAATAATGACAGTTTACTTGTGCGTTATTTAGGTATTCCATTAGTCTCTAGAAAAATCTCTGATAAG